TTTACAGTTTTCATCTAAATATTTTTTGAAAAACTTTAGTCTGAATGATTGCATTTTTAAATAAATGTCTGGGATATTTAATCCTCCTTCAAGTTTAGGCGCAACTATTGTTTTATATTTTACTTAATGCGATTTATATTGCCAAAGAAATTTTAAAATTGTAGACTTTATTTCAACTTCATATTTTTCAGACATTATTAATGTATTTAAGACTGTAGCTCGACCTTGCAGAGATAATTCTCTCTTTATGACCAAAAATATAAAATTGTTTTTTGTTTTTTTAATTTTTGAATCCCAGTTCAAGTAGTCACACAATTCAGAATTTTTACCCATGTAAATTCCTAATATTTGTGAAACTTCTGCACTTAATTTTACACCATAATCAATAAATTCAATTTCGGAAATTGATTCCGATCCCAGACACATGATTTCGGATTTCTGTTTGTTTATTTTAGCCCCGGAGGCTTTACAGTAAAGGTCTAAAACTTCAAAAGTTTGATTTATTGACTCTTTATCACTAACAGTTAATGTAAAATCATCTGCATGTGCAAATATTTTAGAATTTTCTTTAGAATTTGGAATTTCAATACCTTTTATATTTTTATTTTTTAAAATTGCCTGTAATAATGGTTCCGCAGCTATTACGTAGCACAACGCAGAAATTGGACAGCCTTGCCTCAAAATTTACAGTAAAATGAAACCCTGAGGCCGTCATTACCCGGACTTTTATTTTTATTCATACCATTTAAGGTAGATCATAGGTATATATTTCATGAGATAGAATTTTCTTATACTTTGCCAAAATGAAGATTTTACTATGCTTTTTTCAAAAATATAATAAAAAGTATGGGTCACCATGCTATTTTCTAAGCTATGAGTCGTTGAAAATTGCCTAAATTTGGTTAGATTGTTCATGAAAAAACACATTTGTGTGCATAAAAAAAAATCTATGAGATGGAATTTTGAAATAAATTGTGAGAAGATAGGTTTTATAATATATTTTAAGAAAATAAAAAGAAAAAATAGTGTCACCGAACTTGTTTTCTTGCTGCAAGTAAAAATAAAAAATTTCCCTATTAGTCCAGTATATATTTTTTACTTGAAGAGTTAACTCCCCCCATATGGCTTATTTGAAAAAAAATGATTCTAAAAACACAAAATTTGATATTCGTTTAAATATTTTGAGTTATGCAATAAATCATTAAGTTTTCTTTATATAAATAAACAGTCTAACCAATAAATTGCAAATCTGTCTCCAAATTTGCAGATTTGGGCAAATAACTAAACCGATTTTGTACTGGGATTGTACAATTCAAGATGGCGGTATACCATGAATCTACCTTAAGGATTAAAAATTTCAACTAAAGTTATGTCATCGTCACAAGTATTTATATCATCTTCAGAAACTGGTTTTGAAATAAATTCGCCTATTTCCTCCATTTTTGATTCATCTATATTAGTACGTGAATAAAGCTTTTCATAAAAAATTTTAATTTCGTTAAGAATATCTTGCGTACTTGTTAATAATTTACCATTATCATTTTCAATTTCTTTGATTGAATTACTTTCTTGTCTGTGTTTTTCTAATTGTAAGAAATATTTAGAATTTTTGTTACCTTCAATAGCTCAGCTGGCTTTTGATCTCAAAATTGCTCCTTTACATTTTTCCTCTTCATAGTTTTTTATTTTTGATTTTATTTCTTCAAATTCATTTACATTATATTTATAATTATTAGCGGCAAGATTTGATATTTTTTCAAATTTATTTTGAAGTTTAAAATATTCAGATCTTTCGATATATTTTTTGTCTTTAGCATAAACCTGAGTTTCTTTTTTAATTTTATATTTTAGGTTATCAATCCAAATTAATTGGGATTCGTCAAATAGTCTACATTCTTTTTCTTTTAAGATTAAATCATTAATTTTATTTACATAATGTTCATCATTTAGCAGCATATTGTTGAAAATCCATACACCGGGACCGCGTTCTGTTTGACTACAATCGAAGTTAAGAATTACAAACGAATGGTCGCTAAAAGCCGTATGCTTGTAATAAATATTTTTAACAAACGTAGAAAGCATTTTCGAAATGAATATGAAATCTATACGGCTTTGAACTAACTTATTTTCAATTATACGTCGCCAAGAAAATACTCGCAAATTCGAAAACCGTGCACGCCAAACGTCATAAATATTAAAATCATCTAATAATTTAGAAATACGTTTGAATGCTTTATCTTCAGTGTGTTTTCAAACTCTATATAGAGGAGAAAATGATGTATTAAAATCACCCAACAAAATTATTTCATCCGACTTTGGAATATTATCACCAACTTTCTGAAAAAATATATCTCTTTCGTTGACAATATTTGGAGCATAGACGTTAACCAAATCAATAGTTTTATTGTCAACTTCAAGCTGAATATATATAAACCTTCCATCAAACCCTTTAATTTAAGTTACACAATTTTTATATTTCTCACTGACCAGAAAAGCAACCCCTTGTCTGTCTAAACCTGAACAAGAGAAAATGATTACACCATTCCAATGTTTTTTATGATCTTCAATCTAATCGGGACTCCAAAATGTTTCTTGCACAGCAACCACTTCATATCTGTTTTCGGAGCAAAAAGAACAAAACTTAATAAATTTATTTACATCTCTAAGACCATTTGCATTGATGGATACGCACTGTACCATCAGGAATAGAATGAGTGCTCTCTGAATATAGACTATGAACGAGAAGGTTATTAGTTTTGTTTGTTTTGAGTACCACCATAAACAACAGACTGCCTCCTGTCATAAGGAATATTAGGCCTAACATTTAAACGACTACGCCTCATATATGGTTTACCACTAGTTTTTACCATTGCTTTTGCTAGTTCTTCATCATTCATATCAGCTTCACTATTTTGTGAAGACAACATGGCATTAGTAATTACAACTTCAGGAGAGGTAAGATTTTCTGTTTGACCCACAACTTCTGATTCATTACATTTGTTTTCATCGGTGCCCCAATTTTCTGACACAGAATCTATCATTAACATTGAAATCATCTTGATCATCGCTCATTTGAACTTCATTTCCGGTTTCGCACAATTCAATATTTTTCTGTCCGGGATCGGAAGTCTCGTTAGGGGGTGAATGGGAGTCATTAGTAATATTAACTTCATCATTTGCTGTCGCGTGAACATCGACAGTTATAACTTCTGCATTTTCCGACGGTTCTGCAACATTTTTGGACTTATCCACTTCTCTAAGTGTTTTTTTTCGTCTGAGAATGTTCATCCTCGCGATTCAATTCTTTAACGAATTTAAAGTTTTTAATTGAGTCTTTCATCTCTTGGGTTCTCTCCGCCATTTGTCGTTTAAAGCTTTTCATATCGGACTCAGAACATCTACACTTTTTCGGATACTTATTACATTTTTCACATTGCTCACTAGGACAATTTTTACAAAGATGACCATGTTCATCACAACGGTAGCATTTATTGTCCGGACAATCTGCATAAAGGTGGTCTGATGACAGACATTTTGAACAGACTTTAGACTGGTGGTCATGTTTCACTCTTATATATTCGGGTTTATTGTCAACTACAAATTTCATTGAATATGGAAGGCTTGAAACATTGGGCGGAAATTTAACAACAACAAACCTCATGCCGTCAGCTACATCTGTTATAGAATGAACACGTCGTTTTATCTATGATTTTAACTCGGCGCCATAATCTATCAGCTTCTTGCGAATTTCTTCGTCTGGTATAAAGGCCGGTAAATGAAGAAAGCTTACCACTCGTTTCGCAGAATAAACGGCTTTACAGTTGTACCTTTGTCCGCTTAATACAAACGGACCCGTACTTAGTTCATCTGAGGCATCCTTGCTTGCCACGGTGATTTCGTATAGATTGCCACTTCGTGGAACGACGGCCAAAACGTTTCCATCGCCACACAAGCTCTCAGCTTCTTCAATAACACTTAAGGGTCCAACTTTCTTATTGTCTATAACACATTCTTTGCACATGCGGTTTCCCCCACCACCAGGCATGGTGAAGGGGAAACGGTAAAGTTCAACAAAAAGTAAAAAAAAAAAACTTTCTAAAGTTCAGAAAATACCTGACTTATATACTGATCTTGATTGAAGACAGGCCACCGACCACGGATGGCCTGTTATGCACTTTAAATCTTCTAGATTGCTATTCTTGCAAATGTACGTCTTTTCAACATGGAAGCCAGACAGGAAGTCCATACTTTTTGTATCATCCGCCTCACTAGTGGATGAATTGCTTTTTTAAGGTAGATTAATTGTATACCGCCATCTTGGATTGTAAAATAGTCTAGTTCTTTGCTTAATTCTGCAAATTCTGACACAGATTTGCAATTAATGGGTTATACTGTTTATTGGAATAAAGAAAAATAAGTGATTTGTTGCAGTAATCAAACTGATTTATCAAATACCAAATATTTGCGTTTGTTTGAATCAAATTATCAACTTAGCCTTTTAAGGGGGGATAACTCACATAGTAATTTTTTTTATAAAGTTTTTAATTTTTACTAGTAGCAAGAAAACAAGGTCGGTGACACCTTATTTTCTTTTCATTTCCTTAAAGCATATTTTAAAACTTATCTTATTTTATCTCATTGATTTCTTTTTATTTACAAAAATGTTTTTTCATGAACAATCTATGCAAATTTTGGCAATTTTGCACGACTAGTAGCTTAAAAAATAGCATAGTGACTTTGAATTGCAATGGTTGCTAAGAAAGCAACTTGTTTGTATTGTCGGGTTGTTTCCTTATTGACGTATATCCTGGTTCTCCAAATAGAAATAAAGTTTGAACTTTGTTTTGGATTAAGCATTACAACATTGGGTTATAAATTGCTTTTCAAAACGTATAACTTTGCACACCAACTTTTCTTTCCTGAACAATTTAGTCACGACGAATTGTATATTTATAGATATAGCAGGGCAGTTCAACGACTTTTTTATTTTTTCTTCATAGCGTGTTTTAAAGAAGTGTCATACAAGAAACATACAGGTCAAAGTTCAACCTATAACCATGGTTTCCCTTCACGTTATGGTGTTGACAACGATCGATCTACAATGTTTTGTACGAACAAGGAACGTGATCCATATTGGTGGGTATTCTTCGGAAAACCCTACGCAATTCGTCGTGTCGAAATGTGGAATACAAGATTAGAAGGTAAGTAAATTAATCCCTGATGTTTGCAAAAAAGTACAAAATTGGGAATAAAAATACTGGAAATGAAAGTACCCATCTCTATTAAAATAATATTCAATGGTCATGTTATCTGAATATTAATCTGATTAAAATTCAGATCTATCGTAATTCGCTTACGAGCATAACGAAATCAGAGATATTTTAATTAGATTGTCTGAATATCGAATTGATGATGACTGGCTGATTTGTTCCATGCACTTTGCAAATGTTAGCGGATTGTTGAACAAGGTTAATGATAGACCTATATGCTCCTATGCTCAACTTTGTGTGTTTTGAAATGACACATTGCATCTGCGGGGGCATCATTTGTGTCTTCTAGACACAATAATATCTCAAAGAAAGTCCTACATTGACATTGTTATAATACAGTTACTTCAGAGTGGAGTGCGGGGGCATCACTTTGTCTAGTTTAATTAGTTGTTTTTGGCTTTGAACTAGCTTTCAGTAACTGCGAGTACTCTCAGATCTGTACTTAGTGTCGTTTTGTTGTGGGGATGTATAAGTACCCTGCCACGTCCACTCTGTGTTTTTGTTACTTGTTTTTGCTTTGTATCTATCTGATAAGTAATCCTTTTTCAACTGATTTTTATAGTTTGTTCATATGTTGTACTGTTACACCACTGTCCCGGGTTAGGGAGAGGGTTGTGCGCCCGCTAACATGTTAAATCCCGCCACATTCTTGTTGTGCCTGTCCCAAGTCAGGAGCCTGTAATTCAGTGGTTGTTTTTTGTTTCTGTATATCATATTTGTTATTCGTTTATTGTGTTGTATAGTTTGTTCTTGTGTTGTGCTGTTTGCACCACTGTCCAAGGTAAGGGGAGGGTTTTGCGCCCGTCAAACATGTTTAGCCCCGCCACATTCTGTATGTGCCTGTCTCAAATCAGGAGCCTGTAATTCAGTGGTCGTTTGTTGCTGTATATCATATTTGTTTTTCGTTCATTATTTTGTACATAGATCAGGCCTTAAATTTTCTCGTTTGAATATCTTTACATTTGTCATTTCGGGGACTTTTATAGCTGACTATGCGGTATGGACTTTGCTCTTTATTGAAGGCCGTACGGTGACCTATAGTTTCTGTGTCATTTGGTCCATGTGGAGAGTTGTCTCATTGGCAATCATACCACATCTTCTTATTTTTATATTTACGCTATCATTTGTTTCACGACGTCTTAAAATACAGGATGTTGACTCCCCAAATGGCTAGTTTACGACAGGATTTACATGATTGGTGTCTCTAGTGGATTAGGAACTGCTGATCCCTAAGGAACATATATTCAATCTCTGTTTTTTGTGGGGTTCAGGTTGCTCAATTCTTATTTTCCTGACTGCTGTATATTTATTTTTTTATTTCTCCACCTTTTACCTAAAGGTTATAGTTTTCATTTTTATACTTTTTTGTGACTTTCAGTTACTATTATTTTAACGCAAAATTACCCGTTCTTACCAACCAACCCGCCTTTCCCGTGTCAATTGAAATGATAATCCCTTTCTTTCTTCATTTGTCGGACCATTGGGGTGTCGGACTATATTTTCGTTTGATAAGTTTTTTTGTATATAATCTTGTAATAAGCTTAAGTCCAAAATCCTTGAAAAGTGATACTGCGGTGATTATAGTTAATTTTACATTACACAAGCAAAGTAGCCATAATTAACAAACGTAGATGGATTTTGGGTCTTTCGTCTTAAGTTTCTGGCAAGAACAAACTGCTACTTTATTCCGCATGAAATTGAAAGATTGAGTTATACATGTCAAAAATGTTGAATTGAAAAATCTGTCTTGCATGTATTGTTAGAATGACAGGCGATACAGTGATATTCTGAACGTTTCTTTTCTGATTTGCACGAATTTCTTTTTAATGCAAGAACTGTTATATTTGTTCAGAGTTGCCTTATGATTATGTATTCATACTGCCTGCACAGTGTTGAACATTTTCATATTCATTTTAGGTAGAAGATTACGTGAAGTAGAAGTTACGGTTGGTTTCAGTTTAAAAAGAAGGATGGTGCTATGCAAGAGATACAAAGGCCCGGCTAGGAATGGACAGCACTTAACTCTGAATTGCAACCGTGGTATATATGGACATTATGTCAAGATTACCTTAAAAGCCTTTGAATACCTCCATCTACTTGAAGTTAAGGTGTTTGCAGAATGTTGAATTAACTTATTAAAGATTGAATCTCCTCTTTTTTGTTTTTGGTTTTATAAGAGAATGCATATATCATTCAGTAAGGTCTAGATCACTAAGTTGCTGATAGTGCACCTGCTGATATACCACAATCAGCTGGCAATATGGCACCTTTTTGTTAAATTTGATTTGCCTCCCTTTGCACAGAATCTTAAGTTTTCAGAGAAAAATTAAAATATTGGATTGCTAAAAAGAAACATTGACGATCGAGATGTGCGCTTCCACAACCATTTTTAAATCACACATACAGCCACAAATGTATTTTTTTCAAAAAGATCTAATATACAACTTTTTTCTTCTCGTTTTTAACCTAATTTGAATTGTTTCGTCAGGATTTATTTGAATTAATATTTTGAAAATGTAAGTATTTTTCATTGGCTTTGTAGTATCTCCATTAGATTTAAATATTATGTAAACTATAAGCTAAAAGACTAAAATGTAAATTTCGTTCTAATTATTTTTATATAACTAGACAAATAATGAAGCCTGTCCTGCCATATGCATGAATGAGTTTTCGATGGGGTGTTTATATAATAGAGAATGATGGACAAAGCTAGACTACAGAATGGACACAAAAAAAGGAATAAAAAATATTTTGATATAAATAAAGAATATTATGTTAACTATAAGCTAAAAGACTAAAATGTACATTTCGTTCTAAATATTTTTATATAACTAGACAAATAATGATGCCTGCCATATACATGAATGAAGGTCTGGATGGGTGTTAACACAGAATAATGGACAAAGACTACAGAATGGACAAAAAAATGAAAAGAAAATGATATTATAAAAAAAGAGAATAATGGGGTGCTAAAATATAACGAATAGAAGAAATGGGGTGCTAAAATATAACGAACATATAGATAGAGGAGGAGCGGTTTTTTTTCATTTGAATTTATTGTCAAAAGAGAAATGCACAACGAAATAACTGTGGTCTCGCGCCAGTTAACTACAATTTTTTTTTAGAATTCTTCGACTGCACTACTTACTTCTCATCCCGTAATTATGATCCAAATTCAAAGCTTTGACTTTCGGCCTCTTTTACTTATCTACTTTTAAACTATATTATATTTTAAGAAACGGTAAAATAACAAAAAACCTCTCCACACTTCGAATACCCATGTGCTTAAAAATCGCGTTCATAATTTAAATTCCACTGCCGCTAATCGAAATTTACCTTCAAAATATAACACATGACGCAATCATGACAATTGTGTTAAAGGAGGCAATGCCTCTGCAGCTAGATTTTTCAACAAAAACGCACGTGGATATCAACAAATATTCCCGTGCAATGCCAGAAAATGACAAAACTTCTCCAGATTATCTTCGGATAATACTGTTCAGTCATCAGTGAACGGAAGAACCTTTCCTCTCTCCTGTTCGTGTGACATTACTTGAAAAACCCAAAACCTCATATATCTTGTAACACGAACAAAACCGAAATGTAGAATTCAATTTGTAGGGCAAACTGGACGTGAATTTTTCTAACGAACACAAGAACATCTATACCGCTTCCGCAAACCTAAGAAATTCAAAAAAATTAATTTACCAACATTTGGAAAAAAACAAACACAATATTAAATTTGTAAAATTCCAACCACTTCAAAGAACCAGGATGTCAGAATAGCAAATAATGCTCCTTCGACATGAGACTATGAAACATTGAAGTTTAGCTATGATCACTATGACCTTGTACTTACAGGGGACCTCAAAATCGTTCAAGACCGAGATGTAAACTTTCTGAAAAAAGGACTAAAATATCGTCTACCGATCGTCGAAAAATAATTGGGAAGAGTGTCGTCAGCTTATCAAAGATGTTCTTTCATCCTATTGTAAAAAGTGGTGTAAACGGGAGAAATCTGACAAAAAGTCACGTGATTCCTATTCAAATAAATAGAAATAAGAAGATGTGGTATGAGTGCCAATAAGACAACTCTCCATCCAAGTCACAATGTGTAAAAAATAAACCATTATAGGTCAAAGTACGGCCTTCAACACGGAGCCTTGGCTCACATCGAACAGCAACCTATAAGGGGTACAAAAATGACTAGTGTAAAATGTCTGAATATTGTTGGTATTCGCATATCACACTTCAAAAATAACTTAGAAATAGATATAAGAACAATACACCCATGTCTTGGTGGTGGTATGTCGTAAATACTATACGGAAGTCCTTAGGAATGAAATTATACATTCAACTGCATTCAAGGCCGTACGCTCCACAGAGAGTCATATAGTAAATAATCATGTCACTACCACAGCTCAGTTTAAGGCCTCCTCTGAACAGTTGAAGGTCCTTACTATGTATTAGTTACCTAAACTATCCGTCAAATATCGTTTCGTCTCCGCCTCCAGTAAGTGTTCTACTACTAATCTTTCAGTGCTTTTAACGAGTTCCTTAAATATTATCAAAGAAATTATCATTAATTTTTGTAATAAAACATATGAAAAGAGTGGACTTATAACCATTTTTGGAGTGTAAAAAATTCTTTGGATGTTTTAGATAAATTACGTGCTTTTGGTGGTCATTTTGATTCCGTTGACAGTGTTGACTTTTCAACTCTTTATACTACACTTCTACACATTCTTAACAAACAAAAGTTTTCCTATATAATTAAGTGTTCGTTTGATAAATCTGTTTGCAAATTTATTTGCTGTAACTCATATAAAGCCTTTTTTCTCAAATGAGACTGGAGGTGTGATGAGATGATTAAACAATAAATTTTCTCCTTGACAACATTTATGTACGTCTCGGCAATTAGGTTATCGACAGATTGTATGTATAATTCCCATAGGCACCTATTGTTCCCCTTTAATAGCAGACTTGTTCCTATAGTGTTATGAATCACAGTTTATGGCCAAAATCAGTAAAGACCCGTCTAAATTCCATTTAAGGGCATCCGATACAGTTTCAATGTCATTTTTATAATTTTGAATTATGTTGTAGGCCTTGGCGAGTTATAAAAAAAACACCAAATAAAAGATAGGTCACCGTGCTTGTTGACGAGAAAATTGAGGCCGAAAGTTGGGGACTTGTGCAATTTTATAAAAAAGTTAGGCAATGTTGTTAAATTTTGGAGTAGATATTCTTCGTCGTAAATTAATAAGATTGGGTTCAATCTGAAGCTGTGATAAGTGACAATAAGGAACAAATAAATCCCTACAAGAATGACTATATAATTGTTCAAGCCTTGCTTGACATTGCGGACAAGATGCTCAAAGTGTCATATTTTTTAACCTAAAAATACCGAAATCGAGTGGTTCTGAAAATGTCATTTATTTTATTTTTCTACATTAACTGCATTTTGTCATGCTTTCTCCAAATCTCAAATAAAAAATATATGTCACCGTGTTGGATTCGAAGATAAATCGCGATTTATCCTAAAAATTGCGTCCCCTCTATGTAACCTCAACGTTAGCGCGAAAACGCACGACGTCGCTGGCAGACAATTTTGACGTCTCCCGCCAATTATCTGCAAGTTATCGGTAACATTTTTCAGATGTATAAATATTGCTTATATAAGGCTATCCATAAATCGGTAATATTGTTTTCGGAAAAAAAAATCATGTGTATCATAAATACATCTATCGTTTGTGATCAAAGTGAGAAACATCTCAAGCATAGTTGTTGCGGACTGTTGATTTTTTTTACGGCTTAATTTAAAGACTCACGGCAATTTAGAACTTGACATATACTTTTTTCCATTGGATCACAGCACAAACGTTACTTACATGATGTCTTTTCCTGCAAACGGAACTTGTCAGAAAACAAAAAAAATCTTGTGTAGCAGAATCTTCAATTTGTTAAAGGAGGCTTTTACCAGACAGAGAAACTATACAATTATTTTGTCTAAGGTGTATAATGATTATTTCTCTTTACTTTGAGGGGTGGAAGGGCCATATTCAGGAATTTGGGATTAATACGTCTAATATTTGACGGAGTTCAAGAACAGCAAGTTAAATTGACAGGTAGTCGAGATTTATTTATATCGTGATGCGGAAACTTATTATTTTAATTGGAAATCGGATTAGTGAATTTCTTATCGGGAATTCGGGATGACATCCTCCTACCCATTCAAGACTTGGATTTAGGGGGCAGGGTCCGGGTAATCCTTAAGGAGCTACATATATGATAAATGCATAGACTTTTTACAAATATCACTCCCAACGATGACTTTCTATAGTGCCTTCTCTTAAAAATCCTGGATCCGCACCTCAGTACTGCTTTAATCATTTTGGTGTTCAGGAGAATTAATAAGCAGGTACAAAAATTTTAACAAACATTTTTCCATTATAATGTAATAAAGTTTTATAGTCAACGGGAACATTGAAAATTGACAGGAGAATTAAAAACTAGATCTTGTATACATGATTTGATGTTTTACGCCCAGTTATTCAGAAGAAAAGAACATGTAAAAAGATGAATGGACGGAAGGACAGACAGATGCACATTCACCTTTTGAAAAGCTACAAAAGTGACTATACACTTCATCAATTGATTAGTGCTACATACCTGGTATTAGAAATGATGTTGATGTATTGCTGTTTTATGTCCAGTGGCAAATCAAATGCATTCGTAGAAGGCCGTACGGTGACATATGGTTGTTAATTTCTGTGGCCTTTGGTCTCTTGTGTTGAGTTGTCTCATTGGTAATCTTACTACATATTCTTTTTTTAATCAGAACGAGGGAATGTTAATGCAATATGAGTGTTAACCATGCTTTGGACTAGACAGACACTATGGTCGTTCTAGTTTAACGTTCTAGTTAACAAAGTAACCGTACACAGGAAGACATGTCACCATAGCTTGACATATTAACCCGAATCCAAGTTTACCAGTCTTTGCTCTTACTCCTTTATGGCGCATGCTTAGCGCAGAAGCAGCAAATACCAATATTTCTGTAATCAATATGAACAAATGGGTTTGTATGTTTTTTTTTATATTTAGTCTTTCTTTCTAAATAGATACAAAAAATTAATAGAATTA